CTTGTACTCAGCATATTATTGGAAGTCCTAGACAGAGCAATTAGGCAAGAAAAGAAATTCAAGGCATCCAAAAAAGAAAGAAGTTAAATTGTCTCTCTTTATATATGGCATGATCATATATATAGAAAACATTAAACACTCCATAAGAAACTGTTATAACTAATAAACTAGTAAATTTCAGGTTATAAAATCAATATACAAAAATCAGTTTTATTTCTGTACACTACAAACTATCTAAAAAGAAATTTTTAAGAATTTCATATACAACAGCAATAGAAGAATAAAATACTTAGGAATAAATATATTCAAGAAGGTGAAACATCTGTACACTGAAAACTATGACAGTGATGACGGAAACTGAAGGACACACAGATAATAGAAAGGTATTCTGTTTTCATGGATTGGAAGATTTAATATTGTTGAAATGATCATACTACCCAAAGTGATCTACAGATTCAAAGCAATTAGTATCAAAATACCAATGGCATTTTTCACAGAAGAGAAACAATAATTCTAAAATTTTGTATGGATTCACAAAAGACCCTGAAAACACAAAGCCATCTTTAGAAATAAGAACAAAGCTAGAGGCAACACACTTCCTGATTTCAAACTATATTACAAAACAACAGTAATTAAAACAGGATGATATTGACATAAAAACAGGTATATTGTGCAATGAAACAGAATAAAGAACCCAAAAATAAATCCATACATATATGGTCAACTAATCTTTGAAAGGAGCACCAGGAACACACAAAGAAGAGAGGAGAGTATCCTTAAGTAATTGTTTTGGGAAGACTGGATATTCACATGCAAAAGAAAAACTGGACCTTATGTTACACAAGTCACTAAATTGACCTGAAATGTATTAGAGATTTAATAGAATACCTTAAACAATAAAAGTCCTGGAAGAAAATATAGAGAAAAGAATGCCTTGACAATAGCCTTGGCAAATATATTTTTAGATATGACATGGAGGATAAAATGAGGTCTAATATTTATCTCTCCAAAGAGAATATATAGAATAAGAGAGACACATTATTTAAAGAATTTATTAGCATAATGTATTTTACAGCAATCTCTTGTGAGTCTTTTTAGCTCAAAAACAAAATTTATTTTTTTTATTTTTACAGCTGATAATAAGTCAGGGATACGTTGATCCAATTGTTGGGCTAATATTGAGAGGCAAGCCATGCCTGTGGGAACTGAGACACCCTGAGGTGACACCAATGTCTACATGAATCTTAAAACTGAAGTCATGATGTTCTTCTATTTGCACTTGGGAAGAATATGCTGGGAAATTATGCAAATAATTGGTAAGATGAAGGAAGCCAGTACTACTGTAACAGTTTTTCTATGAAATAAACTTATTTTTATCAGATAAGCTTATATATTCCTTATATATTCTCTCATCTTAGATAATAATGACATTTAATAAAATATTTATACAGCTAAGTATCATGTCTAGTATTTCTATTTCTAATTTAATTTATTCTAACAGTTTCTTTAAAGGATAAAGAATGTTTACTCTAGTGCTTAATTCACATTTTTTCCCCATATTGAAATAGATACTTTCAGAACAAGAGACAACACTCCACTCAGAAACAAATTTTATCATACATTTAACCAGAAAAAGCAAAATAAATTTTATCAGCATCCAAAAGTTATGGTGCATTAAAAAGCTATGGTTTTGTTTTGTTTTTTAAAGTTATTATATACTTTATTAAGGAGGAGCTGTGAAAAGATGGCAGAGTAGGGTGGCAAGGTGTAAACCTGCTCCATGTACATACTGGGGAAGCAACTACAGCAAATACAACTAAACCTGAAAATGACATGAAGACTGCAGAATATACCATATCCATTTTGTGACAAGAAGATCAGTGCAGAAAGGTTAATGAGCAGAGCTGTGATAGATCGGGACTCAAGCCCTTCCTCCATTCCAGCACTCAAGCGGGAGTGAGACGAATGGAGTTGGGAGGGGTAAATACTCTGGAATCCAGCAAACTTGGCCCTGGAGATCTGCTATGGGAATACAGGTACACACTGCATTGGACTCTGGTGATTAGCAGGGCAGGACACAAGGGAAAGCTGCTTTGGGGAGGCCAAGACACCTGTCACTTGTGGAGGACAGGCATGCTCTGTTGGCATGCTGAGATGCAACATGGAGGCAGCAGTTTCAAAGATTTACCAGCTACAGGAAGTGTGCCAGAGGGGCAGGGTTAGAGGGACTTCTCTGGGGGAGATAAAAGACAGATGGATGACACTTTCTCAACCCTCACTCAGCCCAACAGGGCTTGCAGGAGCAGCTCCAAATGCTTCATTTCTCTTGCTGGTAGCTCAGCCATGCAGTAGTGCTCCCCTGTGTGCCCACCCTCCTAGCCCGCCTCAGTCCAGCAGTGGTCCAACTTTGTTGCCTGGCAGGTGGAGGCAAGACCACACTTCCCCAGCTTTCCAGCCCTCACTCAGCCCAACCAGTGGGGTGCTTATGGGAATCAGCTCTGAAACTCTCCAGGTCCCTCACTGGTGGCTCAGCCTTGTGGGGGTGCTTCCTTGCATATTGCCCAGCCTGGCATACTTGGTCCAGCAACAGACTGCCACTGGCAGGCAAAGGATGGCTGTGCCCACAATGAGTCCTAGCACAAGTGCCTCATATCACACAAAGGTCATGAAAAGTTGAGCTGTGGGTGGCAATCTGCCTCTACTGGCAGATAGGCAGAAAGGTGGGCCCTGTCCACCAACAGCAACTGTAGTTCCCTGACAAAAGAAAACTAGGCACAGGTGAGCAAAGAGTCTTGAGCTTCTGGGCACTATGGATGCCAACTTCATAAAGTCATTACTTTCAAGACCAGGAGGAATAGCTGATCTATCTAACACAAAGGAAGAAAACAGAAACCCAGGCAAATGAGACAGAGTAATATGCTCCAAATGAAAGAACAAGATAAAACAGCAGAAAAAGGTATAAATGAAATGGAGATTAGCAATCTTCTTGATAAGGAATTCACAGTAACTGTCATAAAGATACTCACTGAACTGGGAAAAATAACTGATAATCTCAGGAAGAACTTAAAGAGACAGAAAATATAAAATAGAGCCACTCAGAGCTGAAGAATACAATAGCTGAATTAAAAAATACAGTAGATGGAATGAATAGCTGACTGCTGGAATCAAAAGAAAGAATCAGGATGATGGAAGATAGGAAACCACAAAGTGACCAAGTAGAAGAACACAGAGAAAAAGAATTTCTAAAACTAAGAAGAAGCTGAGAGTTGTATGATAACCTGAAATCAAACATTCACATAATAGGGATCCCAGAATGAGAAGAAAGAGACAAAGGAGTAGAAAGTCTCTTGATCTAGATGAAAACTTCAATTTGAAAGAGGAAATAGACATCCATAGAGGTCCTAGAAGTGCAGAGTCACTAACAAAAGGAACTCAGCAAGATAACACCAAGACACAGAATAATTAAAACAGAAAAGATTAAAGATAAGAGAGAATCTTAAAAACAGCAAGAGAGAGGTAGACCTATAAGGCATACTCTGTAAGGCCATGTGCAGATTTCTCAGCAGAAACTTTACAGACCAGAATGGAGTATTGAATTAATGTATTGAAATAGAAAAACCTACAGCCAAGAATTCTTCTACCCAGCAAGGTTATCATTCAGAACTGAAGGAGAGATTAAAAGTTTCCCAGATAAACAATGGTTAACAAAATAATTCACCACCATTAAACTGGCCTTATGGGATCTGATCTAAAGGTATTTCTTTAGAAGAAAATGTTCTTAAGTCTAAATATTTTTCATCAGTGAAAATAAACCTACAGTAAAGGTAGTAGGCCAATTACTTACTAAGCAAGTATGAAGTTAAAAAAAAAGTAGTAAAACCAACTATACACAAAATCAGTCAATGGACACATAAAACGTAGATTATGACATACATGAAGAGTGTAGAAGAAAGAAGAATAAAATAAATAGTACTTTTGGATTGCATTCAAAATAGAGCAATCATCAACTTAATATTGACTGTTACATGCTTAGAAAACTATCTATGAACCTTATGGTAACCACAACATAAAGCCTATACTAAATACACAGGAAAAAAGAAAAAAAAAAGAAAAGAAATGCAAGCATAAAACTAAAGAAAATAATCAACTAACAAGAGGAGAGTATAAGAGAGGAAGAAAGGAACAGAGAGGAACTACAAACCAACCAGAAAATAATTAATAAAGTGGCAATAAGTACATACTGTATCTATCAGTAATTACCTTAAATTTAAATGGACTAAATGCACCAATCAAAAGACATACGGTGGCAGGATGGATAAAGAAACAAGACCCATGTATATGCTACCTACAAGAGACTCATTTTAGGCTTCAAGACATACTTAGACTGAAATTGAAGGGAAGGAAAAAGATATTTCATGCTCTTGAAAGGAAGGAGAAAGCAGGAGTAACAGTACTTAGACAAAATGGACTTCAAAACAAAGAAAATAACAAGAGGCAAAGAAGGACATTACATAATGATAAAGGGATCAGTAGAACAAGAGGACATAACAATTGTAAATATATATGTACCCAACATAGGAGTACCTAATATAAACATAAAACATACTAATAGACCTAAAGGGAGAAACAGCAACATGATCATATTAGGGGATTTTAACAGCCTTCCTACATCAACAGATAGATTATCTTCATCCAGACAGAAAATAAATAAGGAAACAGAGGTGCTGAATAATAAATTAGACCAGATGGACTTAACAGACATACACAGAATATTCCAACTAAAAGCAGCATTATAAACATTTCTCTCAAGTGTACATGGGATGTTCTCCAAAATAGATCACATGCTAGGCCACAAAATGAACCTCAATAAATTAAAAACGATTCAAGCATCTTTTCAGATCACAATGGTATAAACAAGAAATAATTACATGAAGAAAACCAAAAAACCCCCACAAACACACAGAGGCTAAACAACATACCTCAAAGTAATCAATAGATTAATGAACAAATCAAAAAGGAAATCAAGCTATTGCAATGAGTGCTTCAAAATTTATCATCCCTGGGGAACTACAAAAGCTCAGCATGAGTATGTGGGCCCAACCACTAATTTTAGACCCAAGGTTTTAATGTGCCCAGAACATGAAACAGAGAGAATAAACATGTACTGTGAATTATGTAGGAGACCGGTTTGTCATCTCTGAAAGTTGGGTGGTAACCATGCCAATCACCATGTGACCACTATGAGCAGTGCCTACAAAACCTTAAAGGAAAAGCTTTCAAAGGATATTGATTACCTTATTGGCAAGGAGAGCCAGGTGAAGAGTCAAATTTCTGAACTAAATTTGTTAATGAAAGAAACAGAGTGTAATGGAGACAGGGCTAAAGAAGAGCCAGTTACAGATTTTGAAGAGCTCTTTGAAATTCTAGAAGAGAGAAAATCATCTGTTTCGAAAGCAATCGATACATCTAAGAAACTAAGATTAGACGAATTTCAGATTCAAATGGAAGAATATCAGGGCCTTCAAGAGAACAATGGACTTGTGGGATATGCTCAGCAAGTGCTTAAGGAGATGGATCAGCCCTGCTTTTTACAGACTGCAAAACAGCTCCACTTCAGAATACAGAAAGCGACAGAATCCTTAAAGAACTTTAGACCTGCGGCCCAGACTTCTTTTGAAGACTATGTTGTTAATACGGCTAAGCAAACAGAACTTCTGGGAGAATTGTCCTTTTTCTCTAGTGGAATAGATGTGCCAGAAATCAATGAGGAACAGAGCAAAGTCTGTAACAGTGCTTTGATAAACTGGCACCATCCGGAGAAGGATAAAGCTGATAGCTATGTCCTTGAATATAGGAAGATTAACAGAGATGACGAAATGATGTCTTGGAATGAGATAGAAGTGTGTGGCACAAGTAAAGTTATTTCAGATCTCGAGAGCAACTGTAACTATGCTTTCAGAATAAGAGCCTACAAGGGCTCAATCTGTAGTCCTTCCAGCAAGGAATTGATTCTTCATACGCCTCCAGCTACAGTTTTCAGTTTCCTCTTTGATGAGAAATGTGGATATAATAATGAAAACCTCTTGCTGAACTTGAAAAGAGACCATGTGAAGAGTAGGGCTGGATTCAGTCTTCTGCTGGTGGCCGAATGTATCCAAGTGGGTTATTACACAAGCTTAGACTACATCGTTGGAGATGTTGGAATCACAAAAGGGAAACACTTTTGGGCATTCCAAGTAGAACTGTATTCATACCTGGTAAAAGCAGGAGTTGCTTCCAGTGATAAACTGCAAGAATGGCTCTGTTCTCCCCGGGATGCAGTGAGTCCAAGGTATGAGCAAGATAGCGGGCATGACAGTGGAAGTGAAGATGCTGGTTTTGATTCTTCACAGCCCTTTACATTAGTTACCATAGGCATGAAGAAATTTTTTATACCCAAGTCACCTAATTCTTCTAACGAACCAGAAAATAGAGTTCTTCCTATGCCAACAAGTATAGGGGTTTTCCTTGACTGTGATAAAGGAAAAGTGAGTTTCTATGACACCGATCACATGAAATGCCTCTATGAGCACCAGGTGGACTGTTCACACACAATGTATCCTGCTTTCACATTAATGGGCAGTGGGGAAATTCAACTTGAAGAGCCCATCACAGCAAAATACCTACAATACCAAGAGAACCTGTAGTTTAAGCATCTGATGTGATTTAGGATGAAAAATGTGAGCAAGGTTAATGCCTTCATGTTAACTTTCATAACTAATTACATACTATCTACATTAAGAAAAAGGAAATCAAACAATACATGGAGACAAATAAAACAGAAACACAAGTTCAAAATATGTTGGATGCCTCAAAAGCACTTCTAAGACAGATGTGCCTAGCAATAAAGGCCTACCTCAAGAAACAAGAACAATTCCAAAGAAATGGTCTAAATTTACAATTAAAGTGACTAGAATAAAAAGAACAAATGTAACCAAAAGTTAGTAGAAAGAGAGACATAATAAAATTCAAAGTAGAATATATAAAATAAAGAACAATAAAACAATAGAAGAAAATCAATGAAACCAACAGCTATTTCTTTGAAAAGATGAACAAAATAGGCAAACCCCTAGCCAGACTTATCAAAAAAAAAGAGGAAACAAACAAAATCAGAAATGAAAAAGATGTTACAACTGACATCACAGAAATTCAAAGAACAAAGTTGTGGGTGTCCTGCTCCCTGATGCCAAGCTATACTACAAAGGAGAGGAATCAAAGCAGTATGGTACTGACATAAATACAGACACATAGATTAATGGAACAGAGTAGAGGAGCCCCAAAATAAACCCACACATGTATGGCCAACTACTATATGAGAAAGGAGGCAAGAATGTACACTGAGGAAATGACAATCTCTTCAATGAATGATGTTGGGAAAACTGGACAGCTATGTGCAAGAGAATAAAACTGCATTATGCCCTAACACCGTACACAAAAGAAAACCCTAAGTGGATTAAAGACCTAAATATAAGACATGAAACTATAAAACTCTTAGAAAAAACAGGCAAAAATCTCTTGAACATAAGCATGAGAAACATACCTCTCCAGTCAAGTGAAACAAAAGTAAAAATAAACAAGTGGGACTACATGAAAATAAAATGATTCTGTACAGCAAAGGATACCATCAACAAAACAAAAAGGCACCCTATGGTATGGGAAAATATATCCATAAATGATATATCCAATAAGGGGTTAACATCCAAAATATATAAAGAACTCATTCTATTCAATACCAAATAAATAAATAAATAACCCAATTTAAAAATGGGCAGACGACCTGAACAGACATTTTTCCAAAGAATACATACAAATAGCCAACAGAGACATGAAAAGATACTCAACATTGTGAATCATGAGGGAAAAAGCATATCAAAACCACAATGAGATACTACTTCATGCCATAGAAGGGCCACTACCCAAAACACAAGAAATAACAAGTGTTGGCGGAAAAGGGAGCCCTCCTACACTGTTGGTGGGAATGTAAATTGGTATGGGCACTGTGGAAGGCAGTATGGAGGTTCCTAAAAAAACTAAAAAATAGAAATATCTATATGACCCAGTAACTCTACTTCTAGAAATTCGCTTGAAGAAAATAAAATCTGATTCAAAAAGATATATGCACCCCTATGTTTACTGCTGCATTATTTACAATGATTGGATAGAGAAGAAGTGGTATATATACATATACATATACCTGTGGGTGTCTGTGTGTGCGTGAGAGAGGGAAAGACAGAGAGACAGAAAGAGAATAAGGATTTAAAAGACAAGTGATTTATAGGTTGAAAGCATATAAATATATCATATTATTTGTTAATTTTACATTTTACTTTGCCAACTGTAATATCCACTAGTAGAAAGAAGACAAGTTGAAAATTAGCATTTTCAATTATTTTGAATCTTGTTTTCTTTCAGAATTCATTGTTTTCAAGAGCAAAGAACCTAAACTGTCACATTTCTCCTTTGAGTGCTCATTATTGATTCCCTAAAGGTGAGATAGAGGGAGAATTGCACTTCAGTCGAAAACACATACATCAGGAAAAAAAACATACATTTCCTTCTCAAGAATCCTTATTCTCTTACTAAGGAATGCTTTCATTTATTTTGAGATTTTCAAGCCCAAAAACTTTTTGATTTCATTAAATTAATGCTGATTTCCATTTTAGATTAATGAATTTGAAATTACTCACATGTCAGAATATGCTGGCATGGTAAATAACTTTAGTTACATATATTAAAAACTGCTTTTTAATTAAGCAACCCTTAATTGTGATACTCATTAGAACATGAAGTGAAACCACAGAACGCCTATAAGCTTTCCAAATTAAACTAAAAGCTTAATAGAGCATTTTTATAATTTTTTTTCATATTTTGACATTTTAGGTAAACACACACACAAGTACATGAATCTTCTTTCATTCATTCAACAAAATTAACAAAAAAAGAGAAAAAAAGCTCAGAGAATAATACATGCTATGTAGAAAAATGAAAGCAGTGTAACAGAGGGAAGTGGGCTGACCTTTCAGATCAGGCAGGAGGAGAAGGTCTCTCTGAGCAATGGACATTGAGCCAAAACTCCATGGAGTGGCAGGGAAGCCATGTGACTTCTGGAGGCAGAGCATTATAGCAGCGAATACAATGTACAGAGCTCTGAAAGCAGGGAGTTCACAGTGTATTTGAGGGTTAGAAAGGAAGCCAGATGCTTGATGTATACTAAGAAAAGCTGAAAATGGTTATAAATGTGTTTGAAGCAGTAGCCAGGAGATACATTTAGTTGGATATTGTAGGAATTAGTAAAGAATTTAAATTCTATTTTAAGTGTGACATCAAGTGCTGGATAAATCCACGAGTATGGTTGCAGAGAGGTTTGGAGAACAACCAAGTTCAATTCCTCAGACCTTAGTTTAGAAGATAGACTGGGCTGATAGATACAAAGTCTGAAGATGACAAATGACAGTTTTGTTTATACATGAGGATTATATACTTTCCTGGAACAAATGCACTTCTACTTCTAAGATTGAATTAATGATCTACTCAGATGAATCAACAGAGATAAGTGTCCTATAAAATTATATGATGGACTGTCCTGTCCAGCTTTATGTAGATATGGGCCTGAATGGAGATCGCTGAATTCCCACGAGGGTGTTATGATTCTACTTCATTCACTAACATTTTACATTTCAACTTAGCAAAGGTTTCTATGACTCTAAGGCACACTTAGATCTCTTGTATTATGATTTTAATCTCTCTACTGTGAATCTTGACTCTGACTTCTCTGTGACTCATTAAGATAAGAGATCTTGTTTAACTTGGTTAAATTATGGCTGTGTCTGGTCTGTCAACCAATGTGTACTTATTATTCATTCACACTTGCTGAGACAGTCACCCAGCAAGAGATCATTGGAGGATATTCAGCCGGGAAGAAATATTATCTGACCCATGTTTAAAAAGACTATATAACAAATATAATGAAAATAGTAAGAATAGAAGGATAGACACAAGTAAAGGTTTTAATGTTAAATAAAGGAACAACAAATGGAGCCTGGATAACTGACAGTGGAGGGAGTAAGAATGAGAAATGGTCAGGATTGAAGAGCTTTATTTTAATATGAAAATAAGAGTCAGACACAGGGGTGTTTTTAATTAAGATTTTGGAGGTGGTCCAGATATTGGTAATAACGTCTGGAGGGAATGATGATGGAAATGGCTGATTCAGATCAAGTGTATAACAAAATTACCAGAGTGAGGAAAGTATAAAACTACAATAATAAGGTGTGGCATACATTGCCTATACAGATATTGCTGTTGCTAAGAATAAAGGTAACAAACAAGGTGATAAAACACAATGATATTTTTGGTCAACTATTAGGGAAAACATTCACATATCCTCCTGATACATTTTAAACAGGCTGTTGTTCATATGGTTTTTTATTTGTTTGTTTTTTTGTTTTGAGGAAGGATGAAAACCTCTCCTAATTCCAGGATCATTGCTATTTGAGGCTCAAGCAAAAGACAACTTGAAAGGTTCATAACTAGATTTCAATTAGAAAAAGAAGGGGAAGGAACACTGAATCACAGTATAGGGGGTTTCTCTGTTTTATGGTCGCACTGAAAAAGTTTATATTGTGAGAAAATCACTTCACTGGATGCCCAGACACTTGTGTCTTTAAGAATCCAGATGATTAAGGAAGAATTGAATGGCCTGAACTACTTAGGATGCTGGCATAAGTGAGTATACAGAGAGTATTTTGAGTTAATTTTGATGGTTTCTTAAGTGGATTTGGTAATCAGTTTTAGTTATGGTTTTTAATGGAGTGATGTCTTAGTTTGTGTTTCTGAGACAGTGAGGGCTGGGTATCAGAGTGGTGGTTTCACCATATCCATAGGAGATTCTCAGATCCCTCACCTTTAACCTAAATGTGGCAATAAAAATATCTGTTTATTATTTCTATAAGAATCCATAGAATATTTACATGTGATTTTCTATTAAAAACAGTTTCTATGGCCAATTCATGTTGGAAAACCTTATCAAATATATATGTATCTTAGATTCAGACCGGTTAAATGATTGTAGTAATATTATTTGAGAATTCCTGCTGTAAAAAGACTCAATTTCTGTTTAACCAGGAGCGTCCTAATGTATTTCATTATAAAGCTCTGTGTGTGTGTGTGTCTGTGTGTGTGTGTGACTGAGTGTGCAAATACTCACTGGAATTCTGGACTATATTGTCAATGATTAAATTCTGGGAAATACTGATTTGGGAGACTGTTGTTTCTCTACTTAAAACCAATACTCAAATACATGGTAGGTGTTGCACTTAATTTTTTACCTACACACTGTTTGCATGGAGCTTTTCAACTGAACCATCTGTGAGGTCATCTAAGAAAGGTGAAGTTAGTTTAGTTAAACCTGAATATTCTATTTAAGAGGACACTGATAATTGACATCTGACTACATTATGGAATATAGTATGTAAATACCCATGTGATCTTTAGACTTTTGAAATAAAGAACATTAACAATACTTTTGAACTAAAGGTAAACCTATAATGTCTCCTGATGAGATGTGTGCAATCATGTTAGATTCTAGTTTCCTAGATTTGAGCCTTTCAAATGCAAGATTATTGAAAACATCAGCATGTAATCATACTACACTGATGGGCAGTGACTGCAAGGGGTATGGGTGGGGACTTGATAATAAGGATGAATG